GGGGGGTTTTTGCCCACCCCCAAAATGTAAGTTACACATCAAGAGGTCCCCCTGCAAAGGGTGACTATACATATATATATATACATGGCACCCCCTCCAAAAAGTCTTGTTTTTGGTATTTGCTGTGTTTGGAGAAGGCTTTGGAATGTTACAATTATATAAACCTCATTGTGTACAGCTGAAAGGGAGTACCATATGACGAAAGCCAGCCGATAGGCTAGGCTTGAGCTTTTAGAGCGAACGAAGTGAGTTAAGGGGGTGTGGGGGGGGGTGGTCGTTGAGAGGGACATTTTGAGAGGGTTAACCCAGAGCTTGGTGGGGGAGAGCGCTCCAAAGCGAGGGTCAGAAAAGCAGTGAAAATGGGGTCTGGTGATGCGAGTGATGCAATGGGCGCCGAGCAGTGCATCATTAGCATCATGAAGGGCTTTGGAGGCTATTTGGACAATGGGCATTGAGCAATCGCGTGGAGACAGGGATCCACGTACAGAGCAGACCGCAGCCGCGTGTAGGATACGAGTTCCCAGGACATGAGTTCAAGTCCATGAATTTGGATTGAGTTTCGGTGGGGATGCCTGCGAGGTTGACGACATATCCGCATAGGGCCCCTGCCCCCTAGCAAAAACTATACTTGCACCATGTCCTCGGTCGAGCGGATGCCTCTCGCGGTGTCCACACGCGCCGAACGTTTTTCCGGCTTGCCGGCGCAGATAGATACATACATACATACATACATACATACATAGAGATAGAGATAGAGTCTTACTACTGCATGACTCATGACGTCGCCTTTTTGCTGGCAGCCCTGGCCGAATCCAGTCAGCCTGGGTCCACGGCCCAAAGATCTACGCACGCAGGTGCCAAAGTTTTGGATCGAGCCAGAACATGACTCACTCAAGCCCAGGCATGTGCATCGATAGGCGCACAAATCCTCACTCCTTTGCTGGCCCAAGCTACTCCCGATGCACCTCCCCTTATGCGCCGCGGGATCAAACGTCCGTGTCCCGGCTAGGACTCTTCCAAATCAAAAAAGGCTGCTTTTCGACGCGCCGCAGTATGCATTGCAAACTTCAAACACTCCAAATGTAACAAACACATAATTGCTTCTTTTCAAACGCATTCCGTACTCGCGCGCAGCCCGCGCGCGCGGCGACGCTGACTATGATTTATGGAGAAGGTCTTCGCGCGCGCGCACGCGGTATGCCACCACTCGGACTCAGACGGTATTTCCCCTTCGCTAACGCTGATGTCGCCTTCCAACTTCCAAAAGATGCATACCTTCCTGCGTGTGACAAACACATGCCATTGCCTTGTGATGATGACCTACACCAACATACAACGTATCGCACTTCTCTTTCACTACTTCTTTCATGCCAAGCTTATCCCAAAGCCGCCCGGCTTGCTTCTCTGCTCCCTCCATCACCATTACATACGCCACCCCGCATCTGCGGCACCGCTGACTCGCAAGCTGCCGACCATGCGTCTTGTGCCGCGACGCCCGCCAGAAAAAGAGACACTCGTTTGGCGGCTGCTGGCTTTCGTCCCCCCCTTCTCAGGTATGTATATACATACATACACATGCATGTGTACGAGGTATGCTGGTATGCTTGCACATGCCGTGCCCAGAGAAGGGAACTGCAGCTATGTTTGGAGGTGCGCGTACCTAATATACTGTAGAGCAACATACAGCACGCCAGGAAAATCTCGACAGAACAGAGCGGAGATGGTATGCAACAACTGCCTTGCAGTGTGAAGTGAAGCCTAGACCATCCACGAGCAAGAGTCTAGGCTGTTGGATTTCTTTAGTGTGTGTGTATGTCAGCCATTAAGTTTACCTAAAATCTAGGAACCAAGTCATTAGTGCGAGCGCTTGTTCAAGGAAGCGTGAGCTATCCTGCGTCCTAGCTAGGAGCAAACAAGTCATAGCAAGAATGCTACTAGTAGTAATGCCCTTTGTTACTAGTAGCGATGCCCTTGTTCCTAGTAGCTTCTTGTTACTAGTAGTAAGGCAACGTCTTGCTCCTAGTAGCGATGCCCGTTGTTACTAGTAGCTTCCTTGTCGGAGGTCGGAGAGTCCGAAAGTCCTGACGGGGACGGCCGTGAGTGGGTCCGTGGTGTTCTGTTTCGGATGTTTTCCATTTTGTTCTCCTCCCTTGGCAGCTAGATGGTGTGTCTTGAATATGCTTGCCGACAAGCTGTTCGAGTGGATTGGCTTTCTTTTGACGGGATCTTTCGATGGGGTTTTGGTGGTGGTCGCGGGGTTGAGCCACGTTGGAGATTGTACAAGTACCTGTGTTAAGTCGTCTGGTCTTGTAGAAAGTCGTCTGGATGCTGCGTTTACAATGGGGTTAGATGCAAGATGGCAATATAAGGAAGGTGACCAAAAAGTGATTTGAAGATAATCGACATGGGTAGGTGGATACCTCGCCTCGCGCGGCACTCGCGTCAGGTTCGAAAAGACTCGCGCGGCGCTCGCGCCAGTGTAGCCATGTTTCCGACAAAAAATTGTAGCCAGACCGCTGACTGTTGGAACCGCCGACTCATTCAAATCCATTTAAAGCCTGGTCAGAGCAAGTAGAAAAGATTCGTGTAGTCTCAGCACGCTGCATCTATGTTTGCAGGCTAATCTTGCGTTCTGATTGGGGTTCGGTCGCCAAAATGCTGCAAACTTCGACATAAAACTAGTTCTTTCCTGCACAGGGGCAGTGGATTCTTGATGTATAGCAGTTTTGACAAACATAATTACTTCCGTAGAGCGCTTACCTTGTGTTTTAACATAAAACGGGTGACTTTTCGCGAGCCGGGTGACTTTTGACTATGCTGCGTTTACATGCGGCCGGGTGACTTGCTGCAAACCCGGGTGACTAAACCCCAGCGCTTGTAGGAAATACCAACATTTAGAGGCGAGGCAAAAAAAGAGACCACAGAATTTGAACAGCTAGTAGGGAGGGGGATGCCATCGCTAGGTTGGAGGCCGGAGGCCATTGCTTCTAGGTTGGAAGCTACTAGGTTTGGCTGGGGAACTTCACCCTAGGGGCATTTGGTCGACCCCCTCTTATTTGGAAGGTTTTTGTTGAGATTTGATCGCTTTGCTTGTTGGTTTTGTTGATGTGAAAGATTTCGGACTTAAGAGCGACCTGGTTCCCGACGTAGAGTTGTAAGGACCATAAGGCCACAGATTTCGACATCCCGATTCGACATAGCACGAGCACTGAGCAAGGTTCAAATGACAAGAGTTTGAGTGGAGGCATAGCACTTGGAGCTTGCCGCAAAGTCTATAGTCTAGTCTAGGTGCTAGGCTAAGCCCAAGTAGCGCCCAGCAGCAGGCCTGAACCAACAAAGTATGTTGTCAAACCAAAAGGTGGCCTGTGCACCTTTTGGTCTCCATCAGCGCTAGTCAATAGTGTCCCCCGGTCTTTCGTGTGAAAAGACACCTTGGCCGGGTGCCAAGGACACAGTATTATGCTTGGATTTGACACAGCAGCGGGCACAGCTCAAATCAGTTTGAGCAATCTGTTCAAACAACATCTTTGCCACCTTTGCGCACAGAATTGTATTTTCGAGTAAGAGATCGATGGGTGTTGCGCTAACCAAACAAAGGCTGCGACGAGTTTGTGCTGAGGTCTTTGATACTCTCTTGTACTGCTATGCCATTCAGTTGAAGCGTGAGAAGGAGGCATTGGTTGAGCTTGAGGACAGAAGAAGCAATTCGGCACTGCCCAACAGAGACAGAGATTGCCCAAAGAATGAGAGCATTGCAGAAAATATGGCCATCATGGGCTTGGCCTCACAGTCACAGCAATGGGTAGTGCGATCTTAGGCACCGGGCGTGAGCACCATTTGCTCTGGTTCATTCCTCCAGAGAGTGAGGAGGCAACGAGAGCACAGCACAAACACCCTGGTTTGGCAGTTTTTTGAATTTGCATCCTGGAACCTGAACAAAGGAATCCAACCCGGATGAGAACAATTTCCTTCCTCGAAGGCTTGCAGTTCGAGTCCTGTATTTTGCCAATTTTTGTGAGTGTGATCACATTGTCAGGATGAAGGATGTTTGCCAGTCCTACACGAGCTCAGCTGCCCAAGGAAATCTCAGCTGAGCCTTGCAAAGATCGAGGCAACCTGTTGCATTTGCAGACTGGTCCGACCAGCATCGGAAGAGGGCAAAATTGGATCAACTCAGCTGGCCCATTAAATCCAATCTTGAGTGAGTCTGGTGTTTAGCACCCTTTCTGCTCTTGCAGCTGTGGAAGTCCATGTCCGTGCACCCCTGCAGACTTTCTTTTTGCGGACTGATATGAAGTTGATAATGCAAAATTGATTTCAAAACCCTAGATCGCATGATCCAACATGATACATGTTCATCCAGTCAGGTGTCCTTCCATTCGTCATATCCGTGGATCAGAGAGGCCGAAGTTAAGTGGTGCTCCGAGACCTGTAGCAATCAATGTAAAATGGAGTTGTAAACCGCTGCATGCCACTTGCCACATGGAACCCCAATGCCTCGAGACCCTTGCTTGCAGCTGGCGCCCACAGAAAGCACCAGCCCAAATTACCGACATCGTGGTCGGGGCATCAGTGCGATGCACACCTTGGGCGTATGAAGATGGCTCCATCTACTCCAAGACTCTTGACTGTTTTAAGTTGTCTTCATGTCGGCTCGCAGCTGGACAGCGCGAAACCCCACAGCCTGTTTGCACAAGGTAGCCGTCGATTCTTGGATTTATATGTTATTATTTTTGTAACCTCTGCCACCGAAGCTAGTACAAGAAACGATGAGCAGCATCTTGAAGCATGGATGACAGATAAATTATGGCTAAAGTTGCTACTCTGACTCAAACCTTTGCATGACCCACAATGAGTACGTATACTCGAGCAATGGTTTGTCTTGCGATGCTGCTGCTCACAGGCTTGGCAGTAGGATAAGATGCTGAGAGACACTGCTTGGTGTACATTGCCGATCTTTGCAAATACTCCTGATTACACACACACACAAAAATATATATATATATCACGAAAGCCATCCGATAGGCTAGGCTGGAGTTGGGTTGGGCGAACGAAGTGAGTATAGGGGGTGGGGGGTGGTGGCACAGCGCGCGAACCCGGAGCCTGGTGGGGGAGAGTGAAGAAAACTACTTGGAGTTGGGAGTTGTTTTTGGGGTGTTGTGATGCAGGTGATGTCATTGATGGCCATCAGTGCATCATTAGCATCATGAGGGGCTCAGGAGGCAATCTAAAGCGTCTTTTATCAGGGGTGGGAGTTCATGTCGATGATAGGAAAGAGGAGACAGCGGGACGCGAGAAGTGGTTGGAACACCTCCAAAGGAGGGAGATGTGTTTTTTGGCGGCGGCTGAAATAGTGTTCGACCGTGTCTCTTAAGACGCTGTGTGATCTGTGAGGGCAGGAGAGGGACCAGAAGTCTGTGGGGAAGACAGGCAGAGCGGAGGAGGACGTGGTTGGAAAAGAGGGTCTGCAAGAAATCTTGGAGCTGCTTGGGGGTGGCCTCCCCATATGGGGTGGGAGTTCATGCGGCAGACGTGCGTAGCGGAGTTGGACGTGGTGGGCAAAGACTGATTGCAAGAAATCGCTGACTTTCTTGGGGGTGCCCTTTTTTGTGATGAAGATGTCCCCTAACCATACGCAAAAGGGAACCCCATATGGGGTGCGAGTTGGGCTTTGAGTTGCTTGGGGTGTCCTTTGTTTATGGTGAAGAGCCAGACGCAAAAGGGCACCCCATGTGGAGTGGGAGTTCATGTGCAGGATAGGCATGGCGGGGGAGGATGTGATAGGAAACGAGGTGAGGACCTCCCAGGGATCTCGCATTCACTCCCCGTGACCATATTGATCTCTTTACACGGCCTACCGAGGAGGTTGTAGACTAGGGCTGTTTGGTGTCGTTATTCATGCCGATGATAGGAAAGAGGAGACAACGGGACGCGAAACGTGGTTGGAACTCCTCCACAAAAAGGAGATGTGCGTCTTTGGTGGCGATTTTGGTGGCGATTGCAATAGTGTTCGACCGGGATGAAAGGGAGGTGTGTGTCTCTTAAGACACTGTGTGATCTGTGAGGGCAGGAGAGGGAACAGAATGCTGTGGGGAAGGTGGAAGACAGGCAGCGTGGAGGACTACGCGGTCGGAAAAGAGGGTCTGCAAGAAATCTTGGAGTTGCTTGGGGATGCTCCTTTTTAATGCTGAATCAAGGCCGTGGCAAGACGCCAGTAGGAGAGAGAGAACAGAATGACCAAAGCCACTACCGGTAGCTTATTTTTTGACGATATTTGACGATGGAGTTGCATAACCTTTTTCACTAAACTAAAGTTGACCCTCCAGATGGGCGCCCTTCTCCAGGTCACCCTTGTTCACAGGAAAACTAAAATCACATTGAATCACATTTGAATCATGTTTAATCTTGCTTGAAGCTTATAAACCTTATTTGTGCACTTTTTTGCTTTAAACCGGCAAAAAGTGATTTAACATGATTTGAACATGAAAAAATGGTACTTGTCACTTTTGTATCTGAACGAGAGGTTCATTAACAGGCTGGCAAGTAAATGCGTTAATTTACTGTGTTTGAAAGTCAGCGTTTCATTGTCATCATCATTTTGTACTACTATTGATACTTCAATTGTTTTTAGAAGAACATGTTACAAGTTGTGAGTTTTATCACCAACTAAACCTTTGGGCGGTGGAACCTTCACTGACTGACATTCATTGATTCATGGGTCACTTGACATGGTAGGCGCAAGAACTAAATTTGAACTAAATGCAAGCTGACAGACGGTCACAATTTGTATTCTTAGTTGCTGTTGCTGAAGGGCGCTGTGCAAGTAAGATTTCACGAGATGCAAGATTTGGAGATCAATTCATTTGCTGTTGAAGCGGGCTGGTCAGATGACTGGGTGACGGTTCGCCTGCACCCCTGGGGAAAAGCCCGAGGAAGACCGCCAGTGATCAATAATGCATAGATCCTTTCGCATGCTGTGCCAACCCCAGCGAGAGCAGTTCCTGTTCGAAAGGCAGCGGCTGCTAGGCCTAACGATGGGAACAGCGCTGTTGTGATTGCTGAAGGGCCCAGTGCCACGGTTGTTTATGCGAATGTCACTGCTGTTCCTGATGTTGATGAGCCCCGCGCCGCAGCTGTTGATGATGGGGGCAGCGCTGTTGCTGACGGGCGCCGTTTTGCTGTTGCTGATGCAGTGTCTGCTCATGGATAAAGTGCCTATGTGCCTGGAGAGTCGCTTGTGCAACCGTGCGTAATCTGTCATAATGAGATGGTGGAAAGTGAGCAAGAGCTTAGATCCTTGTGATGTGGCCGCATGGTGCACTTGGACTGCGTGAACAGGTACATGGAGGTTTCAGGCAAAACGCTGGACGAGATGCCCTTACAGGCGTCACCAGTCAATCAGGGCCATCATGGTTCCGTTGTAGACCAGCCAAAGGCTTGAAAGATTTGATGAGGGTTTGTCAAAGTGTCTGACTGACTGCGCGGTTTGACCAACGCGCTCAGTGAATTTTGTCTTATGAGATGGGTTACTATGTGGGAGAAGTACCTACATAGACTACAGCCAGCCAATTAGTTCTGGTAGTTCCGGGGTGAGTGACATGACACGTCAGCTTAGATGGAAAATGTGTGATGCTGGATTGTGATTCAGTGTGACGCTTGATTGGTTGTTCGAAGCAATCAAAAGGGTTCCCTTAGCCTTAGAGATCAGTGTGTCTTATGAATGTGAGCAGTACTTTGAGTTTTGAGGCGCCCTTCATTCTACATGCTTGCTTGTCAGTGTGGCAATTGGAGGACTTTCTTATTGTTGCTCTGTCACTGAATGGATACTGGAGCTGGAGGATTTTGTACTGGAAGACTGATTGAATACTGAATGAATACGGACGAAAACTAGTTGAATACTGCTGTATTTTGTTTTTCCGGAGCTGGAGTTGCACTTTTGCATGTTTTCACTTTTTTGTCACTTGTGTGAATTTGCAAATGTCAGCTTTTTGCGCTTTTGTGTCACATGTATGCCCTTCTGTGCACTTTTGTGTCACTTCTTTGCACTTCAAACCTTAATGATTGGTGATGAAATCTGAGGACGCATCAGCTTTTATCTTATTTGTGTCAAAAAAGTGCACAAATAAGAAAAAACTGATGTCAAACTGATTTGAGCTGATTTGGAACTAAAAAACCTTGGCGCCGCCATCGTGACACCAAGACAGCCCTGCTGGGTGGCCCAGTGGTGTCTGGTCTCAAGATGAGCCTTTAAAAAAATTTCTCCGCGCTCCGGAAGAGGAATAGTAATGATCAAACTATGAACCAAATAAAGACATAAACGCGTGTGATGGAGTTGTTTTTGTTCGGCGCGCTTTGCGCGCAAGAGTAACGCCAGGATGGTTTTTTGAGTTGAACAATGAACAGTGTGCTTTGGTTTGGGGTCTCAATATGAGTGCTGTTGGCAAAGTGCAGTTGTCTGATGATGATGATGATGATGATGACTCGGAAAGCTGCATTTCTAGGACATTCCTATGATTCTGATAGGTCATCATCACATTGGGGCACTGAGTCAGACCCTAGCATTGAAAGAGTCAGGCGTCAATTATGTGATCTTCAAAGTATTGATAAACAAGCCTATCGCATATTCTTTGAAGCATTGAGTCAGAGTCGAAGCTGAAGGGCACTGTGCCAACCTCTTCATCTGGACGTCGAATGAGCAGACTGGCTTTTAAATGACGGAGACTGGGCACAAGTTCCACGTCACAGGTCAATGCAAGCATGTGGAGGACGGATCAAAAGTTTGCTACGTTTCATGGCCCAAAATTTGTCAGCCAAAGTGATGTGTATTACAACTTGTCACCGCTCGACTGTAATACTTTGCTCTATGAATGATGAATCAGGTTCTTCACATGGCGCCCGCCAAAAGTTGTTGGGCAAGTTGGCGTAATTAGTTGCGAGCGATCGCTTTGAACATGTCTTTTTGATAAAAAAGGGTGTTTGCGGCCGGCGACATTCCTTGATATTTTCAGGCAGGTTTTGATTGCTCTGATTCCATGTGAACCATCATGAAGATCAACAATGGATGGCCATGACTTGTTTGATGAGGTTGACGCTG